AATATAATGGAAGTTGCATTCCTTTGCAATCCCCTCGTAAAAAAGTAACTGTTCCATTCTAGGAAATGTATTACTCGTGTTTCACCCTGGGAACCCTCAATGTGTACTCCAGTTTCAGAAATACACAGAAAAACAAAACAATGTAGACTAAAAAATAAAAAAACGACAAAACATACCACGTAAACAAGAACAGAAACGTAAAAGCAAACAAGGTGCAGAATATTAGAATAACTCTGGCGCATTGTCACAAGTCACTTTGTGTAAAGGTTATTGTTTTATAAAGAGTATTGTGATCATTTAACAAAAAATGTTCTAAAAACAAAGGATGTACAGAATGGTGTGTATTTAACTTCTCCATGATCCGGGTTATACAAATCCTTTCTAGGATGACCGTCTTGAAATGGCGCTGGTTCAGAAGGGGTTAATGAACAAATATAAAATGTAAAGGGATCCGAAAATACTTAAGCCTTTGTCCATGCAGTTGGGCAATGTCATTTTTGCAAGGACAGCACGTGGGAACAAAAAGAGGAAAGACAGTTAGGCAGTAGGCAGTAAGGACCCAACTTTTGTTTGCCGCGTTCCACCAAAATATCACACTTATAATTAGATCTACTGACAACAGAGAGGCTGGTGGAGGGAATAAAACCTATAAACTCTTCAAAGCTAAAGATCTATGGCCCTACAAAGATATATTAATAAACGTTATAACGTGAAATGTTTTAAAGACTCACAAGAACAGAAATCTGAGATGTCCCTCAGTAATCAAATCGGATCATTTAACAGGTTCTATGGTTGCTGCATTAACCAACTGACCTATCACACTGGCACAGATACTGTGATGGTCTAAACAACATTCAGTGTCCACTAATCCGGTAAAACACATACTACCTGTGCAGTCTTTATGAATACCTTTCAATCTAGACTAGATTCTCTGAGTACAGTCAAGGGCAAGGTAAATTGCTAAATTTGATTGAAAAAAAGCTGAATGTGAAAGATAACATGATGAGTTGTAATTTGGGGGGAGGGGGGAGTTCCCAACATTTTGCAATACTGTATGCAATGTAAAACAAAATGCTGAATGTGTGAATTAACAATGACTCATTTGCTATGCATGCTATAAATAATGTTATTAATCTAGAGATAGTGACAGCCAACACTAAGATATTGCAGCATTAATACCACAGATATCATATTCTTTATCAAATCAAAATCGTTCCCAGACACACTGAGCCACGTTAATGAAGACAATACAACGTACCCAAAATTCATGTCTATTTAGATTAAAACTAATGAACCAATGAAAAAAAAAAAAAAAAAAAAAAAAAAAAAAAAAAAAAAAAAAAAAAAAAAAAAAAAAGGGCATTGTTTTTTGCAGAATACCAGCGCATTTTGTGCCCTATGAGAGGTGTATCTCAAACCGGATGACTGACAGTAAGTATTTACTAACAAAGATCATAACATAAATGAAGAATGGACATTTTAGGCAAAAATAGTATAATTTAAAAACAAACAAACATTCTCCAATTCCGTTACTTCATTGGATACCACAAGACTCCTACGCTGAGAATTGTAAAAGGCGAACATGCTGTACATATTGGTAGGGGAGGGAGAGGCTCACATGACTCTAATTGTTAACTGCCGCCTCGCTTGTTGCCAGGGAGTTGGATAACAGAAACAGGAATACCTGTCTGTGATGCTCGTGGGTAGATCTGAGCGATCAATATCCTGATCAATAATAAAAGGTAGCAATGCACGCACTGCATTCATAGCATACTGCATACAGACAGCCATTTCATTCAATAGCAAAATGTTAATGGTCCTTATATTACACGTGTTTCAGGACGCCAGAACAGAGCGTATATACTCATCTAGAAGTCGAATGCAATTGTGAAATATGCAACGACTCGTGGATAAGTCGAGGGTACGTGTTCCCTTATTTGTATCTTTTTTTCCTCTGATATCCTCCTGCATTCAAATGGAATTGATCCCCTTCTGTTCAGTTACCGAACAGACTCTACGTGGTCCCCCATGTTAACATCTTGTAATTACCGACCACCCCTGGCTGTTAACCACAAACAAGCATTCCCTGGGTGACCGCCATTCATATATACAAACGCATGTGTTCAAACAAACTTCTCTCCCAAACCAATCGCAGGCAGCGGTACATGGTCGTCGACGGCATGGATCTCGGAGTCGGCTACACAAGCCTGCGAACCCCGCTGAAACTTGTACACCTGCCCGTTCGACTTCCCGACCAGTTGGAACAGCGGCATTCGGGGTCGACATTGCCCCGCAGTCAATGTAAAAAACTAGCACTGACCCGTGGATAAGTCAACTCGGCGTTTTAAAATGAAGTTTATGACTAAAATTTCTCAACATAACATGAATAGAAAGCCACGGCTAAGCTCTATAACATGAATAGAATGCCATGGCTGAGCTCTATAAGCCTGTATAACATGGATATAGGAATGCCATAGCTGAGCTGTATAACATGAATTGAAAGCCACAGCTGAGCTCTATAATAACATGAATGGAGGAATGCCACAGCTGAGCTCTATAACATGAATGGAGGAATGCCACAGCTGAGCTCTATAACATGAATAGAGGAATGCCACGGCTGAGCTCTATAACATGAATGGAGGAATGCCACAGCTGAGCTCTATAACATGAATAGAGGAATGCCACGGCTGAGCTCTATAACATGAATAGAATGCCACTGCTGAGCTCTATAAGCCTGTATAACATGGATATAGGAATGCCATAGCTGAGCTGTATAACATGAATTGAAAGCCACAGCTGAGCTCTATAATAACATGAATGGAGGAATGCCACATCTGAGCTCTATAATAACATGAATGGAGGAATGCCACAGCTGAGCTCTATAACATGAATGGAGGAATGCCACAGCTGAGCTCTATAACATGAATGGAGGAATGCCACAGCTGAGCTCTATAACATGAATAGAGGAATGCCACGGCTGAGCTCTATAACATGAATAGAGGAATGCCACGGCTGAGCTCTATAACATGAATAGAGGAATGCCACGCCTGAGCTCTTTGACATCAATGGAGGAATGCCACGGCTGAGCTCTATGACATGAATGGAGGAATGCCACAGCTGAGCTCTATAACATGAATAGAAAGCCACAGCTGAGCTCTACAACATGACTAGAGGAATGCCACGACTGAGCTCTATTACATGAAGAGAATGCCACGGCTGAGAGAATGCCACGGCTGTGCTCTATAACACTGTATAACATGAATAAAACATCGTGCTGCAGAATGCCATGTGAAAGCTGTATACATGTTGAAGCTGTATATGTGATGGAGAATGTTACGATGAAGCTGCATATTTGTAGCAGAGCTGCGCAACACATTGCTACAGAATGCTGCGGTAAAATTGCATTAAACTGCCCTGCAGAATGGAGTGGTTAAGCTATATAATATTATTCTGCAGGAGGGCTGGTTAAGCTATATAACATTATTCTGCAGAAAGGGCGGTTAAGCTGTATAATATTGTTCTGCAGGAGGGCTGGTTAAGCTAAATAATACTATTCTGCAGGAGGGGTGGTTAAGCTATATAATATTGTTCTGCAGGAGGGGTGGTTAAGGTATATAATATAGTTCTGCAGGAGGGGTGGTTAAGCTATATAATATTGTTCGGCAGAATGCAATTTTTCTGATATGTATAACCTTGTTCAGCCGTGTGCTATGTTTCTGATGTATAAGACTGTTCTGCCCACTGCTTGTTATTGTAATTTATAAAGCACCAACATGTTCTGTAGAGCTGTACAATAAGTGGGCTAACGAACAAGTATCTGTAATAGGACCAGTCTATATCTAGGAACAGAATGTGGGGAGAACCCTGCTCAGAACAAGCTCACAGCTTGTAAACAATATTCTGAAAAATTAACTCATGGCACGATTGGCGAGATTTCGTTGGAGAGCTATTCTGCACAGCGTGACATTGCAAATTCCTGGGAGATGGATTTAATAATCTCTGCACACATAACCCGCTTATTAAGAACATTCAACAAGGTACCTGGAGAAATGGAACAGGTGATTGAATGGTGCAACAAGGGCAATTAGCATGCAGTCAAGTAACGCAAAAAGGAGGTGCCTGCTAGATGATGGTATTTCCTCTTAAACGAAGGGGCGTACACACACACACTTCTTATTGCAAAACAGGAATTCTTTGCAATTGTCAAACCTTACAATGCACAAAAAATTATTATATAACCCTTTTTGATTCATGCTGTACTGAGAGTCTTTGCAGATTTGGCTGAGGGCATCAGCTGAGCTCTGCAGCCTATCAGGGCAGTCCTAGATCACCCGTGCAAGCTGAACAGAAACACATCCAGCTTCTCCTGCAGAAGATCAGATGTGGCGTGGGCGCCCAGGTAACTTGCCAAACCATGCTAAAATGGTTGGACAGTTTACTATTGGATGGCGTCTGGGCACTGCTGACACCATAACCACTACGGCAGGCTGCAGTGGATAGGATTCTTGCAAGGTTCCCTTAAAACCTTGAAGAATAAGTGAATTTTCAATCAATCAATGCCGGTGTATGGGTAACCCCTTAATTCTAAACCAAGCAAGAGGTGACAGATAGAATAATATGGGCATAATATGTGCATGAGCACATACAGGGGATTTAAACGCATAAGATCTTTCCCGGTTATTAAACCACATATCAGATCCAAGAGACCCAGGCCGATTATACAATCCAGCTAATGTCATGCCCTGAATTACAAGTAAGAAGCAGCTTTTATTTGGGAAATATATTTTCTATCTGCTCCACCGATGTATAGATCACACTGCATGATAATATGAAATAAGTGCATATAACACAAATCGAAACAGGGGGGGAAAAAAGAAAAAAAAGGTTTTGCCAAAAGGAAAATTGCGCTGTTTGAAATTGACAGGAAATGTAGCCTGAAATTTGCCGTCTATGAGGGTGATAATCTGTGCTCTTAATTCTAACAATACAGAGCAGATACCGGGCACCCCGGCTTGTTATTTAAAGAATTCAGATGTTCTAAACCTCTGGGGAGGGTGACGCTGGCGCTGTGTCTCTACATAGCGAATGGGGTGCTTATAAGTGGCATTAAACTTCTAATTTACTCCTGGGACAGTAACACTGGCACAGCGTCCCTCCCTACCTTCTCCTGGTGGGCAGATTGGCATTATACATTAACCTTGTTTTCAGGATTGGTAAAGCTGGCATAATAACTACTTAATATCAATTGGCTTCTGGGATGGTAAAGCTGGAACTGTGTCCCTAACTAGCTTCTACGGGGGATACTAAAATTATACCTCTATGTTGCTACTGTGGGCATTTTACTGCTATTAGAGCCCTAGCTTGCCCTTGAGAAAGACTGAAGCAGGCACTACACCTATACCTTACCCCTGCAATGTACCCTTTATAGTGTGCCCCTACATGGCTCCTAGGCTGGGTAAAGCTGGCACTGTGCTCCTACCTGTCTCCTGTGCTAGGTAAAGTTAGCACTGTTCCCCCTACTTGGCTCCCGGACTGGGTAATGCTGGCACTGTGGGTAAAGCTAGCTGGGTCCTGGGCTGGGTAAAGCTAGCACTGTGCCCCTACCTGGCTCCTTGGCCGAGTAAAGCTGCCACTAGGCTCCAACCTGGATCCTGGGCTGGGTAAAGCTGGCACTGTGCCCCTATCTGGCTCATGAGCTTGGTAAAGCTGGAACTAGGCTCCTAGGTATCGTAAAGCTGGCACTGTGTTCCCTTACCTGGCTCCTGGCCTAGGTAAGGGTGGCACAAGGCTCCGACCTGGCTCCTGGGCTTGGTACAGCTGGCACTGTGCCCCCTACCTGGCTCGGCTCCTGGGCTGGTTAAAGCTGATACTGTGCCACTACCTGGCTCCTGTGCAGGGTAAAGCTGGCACTAGCCTCCCACCTGGCTCCTGGGCTGGGTAAAGCTGGCACTAGGCTCATGAGCTGGGTAAAGCTGTCAGTGTGCTTGATGCTGGGCTGGGTGAAGCTGTCAGTGTGCTGGGCTGGGTATAGATGGCAGTGCGCCCCTACCTGGGTATAGATTGAAGTGTGCTCGGTGCTGGGTATAGATGGGTAAAGCTGGCACTGTGCCCCCTATCTGGCTCCTGGGCAGAGTAAAGCTGGTCCGCTGCCCCTACCTGACTCCTGGGCTGGGTAAAGCTGGCAGTGTGCCCCTACCTGGGTGAAACTGGCAGTGTGCCCCCTACCTGGGTGAAGCTGGCAGTGTGCCCGGTGCCGGGCTGGGTGAAGCTGGCAGTGTGCCCTTACCTGGGTGAAGCTGGCAGTGTGCCTGGTGCCGGGCTGGGTATAGCTGGCAGTGTGCTCGGTGCCGGGCTGGGTATAGCTGGCAGTGTGCCCCCCTACCTGGCTCCTGGGCAGAGTAAAGCTGGTCCGCTGCCCCTACCTGACTCCTGGGCTGGGTAAAGCTGGCAGTGTGCCCCTACCTGGGTGAAACTGGCAGTGTGCCCCCTACCTGGGTGAAGCTGGCAGTGTGCCCGGTGCCGGGCTGGGTGAAGCTGGCAGTGTGCCCTTACCTGGGTGAAGCTGGCAGTGTGCCTGGTGCCGGGCTGGGTATAGCTGGCAGTGTGCTCGGTGCCGGGCTGGGTATAGCTGGCAGTGTGCCCCCCTACCTGGCTCCTGGGCAGAGTAAAGCTGGTCCGCTGCCCCTACCTGACTCCTGGGCTGGGTAAAGCTGGCAGTGTGCCCCTACCTGGGTGAAACTGGCAGTGTCCGCGCCAGGCTGGTATAGCTGGCAGTGCCCCTACCTGGGTGAAGCTGGCAGGCAGTGTCCGCGCCAGGCTGGTATAGCTGGCAGTGTGCTTGGTGCAAGGCTGGGTGAAGCTTCTGCGTGTGCTCGGTGCCAGGCTGGGTATAGCTGGCAGTGTGCTCGGTGCCAGGCTGGGTGAAGCTGGCAGTGTACCCGCCTACCTGGGTGAAGCTGGCAGTGTGCTCGGTGCCAGGCTGGGTATAGCTGGCAGTGTGCTCGGTGCCAGGCTGGGTGAAGCTGGCAGTGTACCCGCCTACCTGGGTGAAGCTGGCAGTGTGCTCTGTGCCAGGCTGGGTATAGCTGGCAGTGTGCTCGGTGCCGGGCTGGGTGAAGCTGGCAGTGTGCCCCCCTACCTGGGTATACCTGGCAGTGTGCTAGGTGCCGGGCTGGGTATAGCTGGCAGTGTGCTCGGTGCCGGGCGAAGCTGGCAGTGTGCTCGGTGCCAGGCTGGGTATAGCTGGCAGTGTGCCCCCCTACCTGGGTATAGCTGGCAGTGTGCTCTGTGCCAGGCTGGGTAAAGGTGGCAGTGTGCCCGGTGCCGGGCCGGGTATAGCTGGCAGTGTGCCCGGTGCCGGGCTGGGTATAGCTGGCAGTGTGCTCGGTGCCGGGCTGGGTATAGCTGGCAGTGTGCTCGGTGCCGGGCGAAGCTGGCAGTGTGCTCGGTGCCAGGCTGGGTATAGCTGGCAGTGTGCCCCCCTACCTAGGTGAAGCTGGCAGTGTGTCCGGTGCCAGGCTGGGTATAGCTGGCAGTGTGCTCAGTGCCAGGCTGGGTATAGCTGGCAGTGTGCTCGGTGCCAGGCTGGGTGAAGCTGGCAGTGTGCTCGGTGCCAGGCTGGGTATAGCTGGCAGTGTGCCGCCCTACCTGGGTATAGCTGGCAGTGTGCCCCCCTACCTGGGTATAGCTGGCAGTGTGCCCCCCTACCTGGGTGAAGCTGGCAGTGTGCTCGGTGCCAGGCTGGGTATAGCTGGCAGTGCCCCTACCTGGGTATAGCTGGCAGTGTGCCCGGTGCCAGGCTGGGTACAGCTGGCAGTGTGCTCGGTGCCAGGCTGGGTACAGATGGCAGTGTGCTCGGTGCCAGGCTGGGTACAGATGGCAGTGTGCTCGGTGGCAGGCTGGGTATAGCTGGCAGTGCCCCTACCTGGGTATAGCTGGCAGTGTTCCCGGTGCCAGGCTGGGTACAGATGGCAGTGTGCTCGGTGCCGGGCTGGGTATAGCTGGCAGTGCCCCTACCTGGGTATAGCTGGCAGTGTGCCCGGTGCCGGGCTGGGTATAGCTGGCAGTGTGCCCGGTGCCAGGCTGGGTACAGATGGCAGTGTGCTCGGTGGCAGGCTGGGTATAGCTGGCAGTGCCCCTACCTGGATATAGCTGGCAGTGTTCCCGGTGCCAGGCTGGGTACAGATGGCAGTGTGCTCGGTGCCGGGCTGGGTATAGCTGGCAGTGTGCCCGGTGCCAGGCTGGGTGAAGCTGGCAGTGTGCCCTGTGCCAGGCTGGGTGAAGCTGGCAGTGTGCCCTGTGCCAGGCTGGGTATAGCTGGCAGTGTGCCCGGTGCCAGGCTGGGTATAGCTGGCGGTGTGCTCGGTGCCAGGCTGGGTATAGCCCCACGGCGGTGCCCTACCTGGGTGCTAGCTGGCATTGTGCCGATTGCCAGGCTGGCTGGGTATAGCTGGCGGTGTGCTGCGGTGCCAGGCTGGGTATAGCTGGCAAGTGTGCTGCGATTGCCAGGCTGGGTATGCTTGGCGGTGTGCTCGGTGCCAGGCTGGGTATAGCTGGCAGTGTGCTCGGTGCCAGGCTGGGTATAGCTGGCAGTGCCCCTACCTGGGTATAGCTGGCAGTGTGCTCGGTGCCAGGCTGGGTATAGCTGGCAGTGTGCTCGGTGCCAGGCTGGGTATAGCTGGCAGTGTGCCCCCCTACCTGGGTATAGCTGGCAGTGTGCTCGGTGCCAGGCTGGGTATAGCTGGCAGTGTGCTCGGTGCCAGGCTGGGTATAGCTGGCAGTGTGCTCGGTGCCAGGCTGGGTATAGCTGGCAGTGTGCTCGGTGCCAGGCTGGGTATAGCTGGCAGTGTGCTCGGTGCCAGGCTGGGTATAGCTGGCAGTGCCCCTACCTGGGTATAGCTGGCAGTGTGCCCGGTGCCAGGCTGGGTATAGTTGGCAGTGTGCTCGGTGCCAGGCTGGGTATAGCTGGCAGTGCCCCTACCTGGGTATAGCTGGCAGTGCCCCTACCTGGGTATAGCTGGCAGTGTGCCCGGTGCCGGGCTGGGTACAGATGGCATACGGTCCGGGTTCCCAGGCAGACATTCAGTCCAGGCCGGTGATCCGGTGCAGACAGACGGCGAGCGGTACCGGGAGATCAGTCAGGAAGATGTAACCGCCCCTTGTGCCCGTTGCTTAGGGATAAGCGCGATGTGAGACCGCCCACCGCCACTGACGTCACCAGAGCCGGAGTCAGAGCGGGAGGGGCGGAAACTTTAAATTACGTCACTGGCCACGCCCATCCCAGACACAAACACTGTATCCCCTCCACACACACTGACACAAACACTGTATCCCCCCCCACACACTGACACAGACACTGTA